TGGCTTTGATGTCTATTAACATATCATGATTGTTCGTGTCCATACCATTGAGTCACTATTTGAAGGTAACCCTTTACTTCCTGCTTCGAGAAATGTCAATCTGGTGCAGTTCACTGACATTTCGGAGTTGGGCCTCATTCTATCGACGTGTCTGTTGATTCAGATCCTTACCAAATTCCAGACTTATTCTTGAGAGAGTCCCGCTATGCCTTGACTGCTCCACTGTAAATATTCCCAGCTTTTGGCAAAACAGCCTAACTGTGGGTTGTCTAGACGTGTTGTTATTTTACCTCATCATCATAGAATCTTAGGGTCGTCAGTTTAAAGACTTGTTGGACACGCACTCTCACTCCTTTCTATCCAGAACCAATCTGTTGGAATATCTTCGATAGGGGTTCCAAAAAGAAGAAGTTTAAATGAAATGGGCTAATTCATACAGTACTGTAATTAAAATGTATGTTAGTTTTCTATTTACCGAAATCAGCCTATTTCGTAACGCAATTTCTAAATTTTGCAATTTTACTCAAAAGTTGAAAATAAGAACAAAGCAATTTATCACCGTATCATTGTTTCCTGCGTTAAGTAAATGTCTTTTATGAAGTCAAGTAAAAAGTATTAACAAGATATAACGAAATCTTAATTAGAGCACGGTTCCCCGTCTGTCAGACACATGTCTAATTGTAAGTAAGTAGACAGGAAGTGTAACATTAGCAGGGAAGGAAAGTCGATAACCTCGGAATATGGTAAAATGTGGTAACTAATGAATGTTTATCGTTTATGTCTTGTTTTTCTTCCGTATTTACTGCCGCGAACTTTCGAAATTATGTATTGACAAAGACAACATACGATAGTATCACTTGTGTGTACATAGTGATGCATTAAAATTGGATTGAAACGCGTAACTTGTCGATGTCTTTTATAAAAATTTACTGGGTTTGTGAGACATATGAGCCTTACTTTAGTTTTCGCACACGATATTGTTGTTCCGACAGGAACAACACCCAGCACATCATTTATATAAATTAAAAATAGCAAAGGCGTAAGTATCGTGCTCTGCGATACATCGGGTTTTATTTTACTGAAGTCACTTACAAGCATCATCAATCCTTGAAACCTAATATTTTTATATTAATAAGTTTTAAAAAAGTATCTTTAAATTTTTGTAAGTATATAATATATCTAAAACCTTATCCTGATTAGAATACCAATTCATCTTGAAGGAGGGCAAAACATTGACATAATANCATCTACAGTTACACCCCGGCAAATTTAAAAACAGCTCCGATCCTTAAGAAAAACTTTCACCGAATAAACAGAGGACGCAATTTGAAGGAAACGGATGACAGGGTACGCCCGATTTTATTCTTTTAAATAGTAAACACAAGAGTAGGTTGAAGTAACTGCACTGCAGTTTCCACTGCAAATATAGTGAAATTCGTATATTATGACCGCCTATATTAACCAACCGCTTAATATGAAGTAATTGCAGTGTTAACTTTGAATGTCATATTAAATTCTCGATAGGAAAGTTTGGATATAATGACTCCGTTTAAAATGACATATCGTTTATTATGACTGATTCTCAAGAAATCATATCCGGCTATAGTGACCCAAATGATTAATAATAACATTTTCGCTTATTTTGCTGATATATTGATATTACAATTTTTCTTTTTCTGTTAATAAATATATACAATTTGTAGTTTTTCTCTCTGTTAAACTAAATAACTAACCAAAATAGAAAGTTGTTTATTTTCAAAGACTATGCTTTGTATAACGCTCACTTAGTATGACGTGTTTATCATTTCCCTTCGATACTACTGTACATATTGTGTTTTGAAATTGATTTTAAAATTTTGATCGGAATCACAGAATTATGACCAGGGCTGAAGGTTAGACAACGAGTCCGTGATCATAATTCTGCTGCTGCTGTTTGGTTCAGACGTTTCGTCAGTAACTGCGGACATCATCAATAGTACTGCGTTGACATACTACGTGTCGTCTTAGTACAGTTTAACTTTTTGATATCCGTACACATTTTATACATAAAAATATATACTGTAAAAGCGTTGTATAAATTAATCGATAATGCTATTAGTATTATCAGTAAACATTCACTTAATTACTCCGTAATTTAAAAGATGAAGATTCGTTAGTTAATTTGTCTGTTGTTCAATTGTGTTTTGGCAATCGAGTGAGCAATTAGTATGTAGGTTGGCATTTAAAGCAAAGGTCTTCGACCCGGCTAATTACAACAGAAAAAAGAGTTCGTTCTTCTCTGGTAGGCTGTGACAAATCAACCAAATGATTTGCCTAATAGCAACTTTCCAGATACTTAATAAAGACTACGTATTATCAGTAAAAAGAAAATATGGGGAAAACAATTTGTAAGTACTTAAAGGTTATTAGTACATATCACATACTTAATTGAATGTTGATTGTTTTACATTGATAAAAATATGAAAAAAATGCAAAATAAAAATTAACATTTTTTTTTTAAATCGTGATGCGATATACACATTGGTATAATTGTTGAGTATTTCGAAAAAACAAAATATTTAAGCACACTATCACACAAGAAAACGTGGATGATGGATGATAATACTCATGTATTTAATGCTTTTTAACAGACCACACGATTCACCTTCGATTTTCATTTGATAGGTACACAATACTTTATTTTAAATAGGAAATCGTTTATTTCTTGTTTTTATTTGCACCACTCTCTTTATTATAACTCATTGTCAACCATGGTTTTGTTTAGTATGCTTTTAACTTAACATTTTGACGATAATTTCCCAAAAATTGAACCGTCATGTCTCTTCTTATATGCACTATTACTAAGTTTATGATAAAAATGAACATAGTAATACATTAATATTGCAGCATTATTAGGGGGTTGCATGGGGACCAATAATTCCACACGCTGCCCCATATTACGTACAACGGGTAAATAAACTACAGTGTATCTAATAGACTACATTTAAACATTTTGGCTAAACGTTCGTCAGTGGAATTAAATGGCGCACTTTCGCATGTCGGGTAAATACCCAATGAGCAGGTAAATATAGGGTTGTTCGGAAAGTCATTTCGTTTTTTTTTTTGTGGAAATGAAAGACAGTTTTCGTATAATAAACAAATACTTTATTAAATTATATATTGACCGTTCTGGTCCAACACCTTTTGCCATCTTTCTGGTAGTAGCATAATTCCACGCTCATAAAATTTTTGGTCTTTGCTGGCAAAAAACTGATNTCAATTCCATAAATTATACATTTTCTCTCCTCTTCTAACCAGTATATACATCCATTACATTCATTCCCCATTCTAAATCTTGCTATTATCTCTATGTTCTTATTCTTAATTAAGTATGCAGGTCCTATGTCATCTTGCCAATCTTCCCACATCATCCTTTCTGCATATTTTGAACATTGATTTTTTTCTTGGATCCTCTCCTTCATTTACTCTTTATCATATTACTTACATTCAATCTTTTATTTTTCCATTCAATTAGTTGTCCCTTGCTGATTCTCATTTCCTCTAATGCCTTATCTCCTTCCTCGTCATATCTGTTTCTCATACCTATTCTCAGATCTTTTGTTCTCCATATCTCTTTCCTTATATCGTCGTCTTTTAATTTTCCAGCTTTTCCTCATATCTGATCACTCTTCTTCTCGGTTCTTCTACCAATTCTTCACATTTCGTTTCTCTCCTTATTAATTGGTTTCATTTACTATTTTTTTATGCAATTTAATAATGTAGCTCTCCTCTTCCTGAAAAGTTAGTACCTATTTTAAACTAAATCCATGTATTATTGAAAAAATGTTGGTTTAGCATTCAAGTCGTACAAACTCTGAAACACTGATGATTTTGAATGTTGAATCTTTTAGAAGATTTAAAATGTGGATGACGAAGTTCATGTCGCTGTTATTTAGAATAATAAACTTGAATTGCATGAGAGATACCAAATGTGTTGAACATATTTTGTGTGGAAAAATATGCATGAAAAAGATTTCAGCAAAACCTTTGCCAGGTTTGTCTGAAATTGGTGAAAATTTTCAATTGATAAAATTTTTATTAAATGGTTTTTAAATATCTGCATATATATTTATAGTTGTCAATAAAACTTACATCCATTATTTTATATGCTATATATCGCCTCCTCTTCGATCTGCAATAGATTGGTTATTTGATAAACAATTTACATTCGATGCAATTAAAGTTCGGTTTGCATATTTTTCTGATAATAAAACTTGGAAAGCATAAAAAGCAATGGGTATTGGGTTTGTTCTAGAAGATCTATAGGTAGTACATAAGCTAACATATGTTTTTTGAGTGATTTACATCTACTTTTACTATTCTTATATAAAGCGAATATAAAAAAATATACCAGAATTTTAGAAATGAAGAGGTATTAGAAAGAATAGGAGAACAGAGGACTCTATGAAAGTTAATAAGAAATAGGCGAGATAAGTTGCATGAAGGGCTAGTCAGAGACATTAAAGGTAGAAACAAGAGTTAAGAGGAGTAGAGGTAGACCTAGATTAGATTACAGTTCACAAATAGTTAAAATTGGCATTTTGTACTGCTGCTAGCCTACCAGGAAAATGCGCAAAATTAATAGAACAGTTAGGAATAAGGTGAATTATATAATATATTAATATCCACTAATTTAAGATTGCTTTAATGGCTGGTATGAATAAAGTGAATACAATGAATAAATAAAGTGGGGCTAACAAAGTTGAAACTTGAAACTAATGTATTTTTTATGTACAATTATTATGTATTCCCTTGTGGATACACAGTATCACTATGTGTCAGCTACCTTAATGTCAAATACGATATTTGACAATTCCATTAGAGGTTTAATTAGATACTAGCCAAAACAATACAGGGCTTTACTATTAGTTGCATAGATATATCTCAAAATAACGAATTTACATATTTGTTTGTTAATTCTAATTAAGACAAATATTGTTTTAGATTCATCATGAACCAAAATGCTCTTAAAATACTCCGAAATACGTAAGGATGAGTCAAAAGACAGCATATCATCTTTAACATTAAAACAAGTAAGTGAATTTTTCGGAACACAATTACCAGACAAGTAGAATAGTAGAAGACCTAACAAAAACAAGTTTCTTTTTGTGGGGTAACGTTAAGGAATTAGTTTATAAAGAACCACCAAACTACGTTTCGTACTGTCAATGGAAATGTGCTAATGAATGTGAATAAGTCCTTGTTGAATCGGGTGCGCATTTGTTATCGTGACGNAATGTTTAAAAAACACTCAGATAGTATGGGCAAAATTTTATATTTCTGGGTTGAACGATTTTGATAATTTGTTAATGTGACTGTACGATATTCCCTCCGGGTGTGAATTGACATCTGAACCAAAGGCAAGTTCCAAACAAGTAGCAAGCGGATTTAGACGTGGCGGTCAAGGTACAGGATCCATACGTCCAATTCAGCTTCAAGGAACTCACGCATAGGTCATTGCAATAATACTATTACGCACTGACCTATGACATTGACACACTGCGAATGACTTCCACTAACTACATAAATACGTCTACAACGTTAAATGAACAGAGAAATACACAAGGTTGGCTGTAAAATGAACATCATCAATTACACTTAATCAAATCTAACAAATAACTGACAACGCATGCGTACTAAAATACAACGAGTGTTACTAGTTAGCAGCTAATCGGATGCGGCGTTCCAATGTAGTATTTCCCTGCGGGAATCTACCAGGGCCGGACTGGCTCTTGACGGTACTTTCAAATAGGTTTTTCTCAAAAACGGTGGACTTTCGGACCATCAAGCATTTACTTAATTTTATTGTTTTGTAGTGTCCTATCACCTCCTACAAGCTTGCTACATATTTCGGAAATATCCTGTTTATCGTATTTGTGGTAGTATAGTAAATAAGTATATCGTAAACTGGAGAAGATGCAAGGTATTTCATAAAAAACAGGTGATTCTAAAGATTAAATCAGATGAATTAGTCACGTAATTTTTTTTGTAATTCTCCACATATTAGAAAACTGTTATAAACAGAAAAGTGTCATGATATGATTGATCTGTCCGAGGTTCCTAACGTTCTCTAGAAATCATTAAAAGAAAATTATAACAATTAAGTATTTTAAAAGAAATAATTTATTTTCTTGTTTTAAAACTGCAGTTTCTCTTTTTCTTATTCTTTATGCATGCATATAAATATTGGAAACTAGCTGAAATGCTAATCCGTCTAATCTAAGCAGCCGTTTATTAGGTTTAGGTTCCTCTCGATTATTCGAGATCATTCTGCGTCTTTATAGAACAATATTCTCGAATAACCGGCCGAAGTATATATTGTAGCGAGCCCGAGCGTGTTTGTGTGCGATCCGGCACACGTGTGCGTGAACGGCTTATCGATTCGCCGACTAGCCGCGGGCGTCTTCCTTCATGTGCGCCGTATTAGTAAATGTGTGTGTCGTACCTACGTTCTGGGAAAGCCNTGTGAGGTTTGAGACAACTTTTTTTACTTGTTATTTAGAATAAAGCAAGGCTTTGCCTCGAAATGGTGAATTAAATTTGGAGCCGCTATATATATGTATTACTTGATTTTCAGGACTTTCGGTGCTAAAATTCATGGCATGACTGACTCTTAAATTAAAAATGAAAAGTTAAACTCACTCTACTTATGGTTCTAGCATTTTGCTTTCATTAATATTTTTGTTTTGGTTCTATATAATCTTGCAAATTATCAACTTTTAATACAGTAATTCCACATTTTTTTGCAGCAGCACGAAAACAATTGGGTCAAGTGCTATTCCAACATATCATGTTGAATAATTTTCACTGACATGCCCCGATCATCCATGTAAGATGAAATTCCATTTTATCGACGTTATAAAATTTATTATTTATATATATTTCCGGTACCAATGTTTTGATTGGTTGATTGAATTTCTATTCTTAAATTGCTTGTTTTTATTATTGAAAGTTATCGTTAAGCTAATTTCAACGAAATTAAAGTGAACAAGTCGCAGAAATTAAGTTCTAATTTTGGCACATAAAAAAATCACGAGGCAATTGTTAGGATTCTTGACGTATTTGCATACATACGTGTATGAAGTTACGTTGAAAGATACAACGAATAATTTCCTGCGTATGTATGTATGTATTTGTGTAACCTTTTGTTTTTTGAAAATAGCACAAACTTTTAAAAATCAAAATTTTCATTATTCTTTAATTAATCATAAAAACTTGTTTAACTATTACTTCTTATTTTTCTTAAACGGGTTTTAGTTTTTAATATTTTTAACGCTGCGTTGTATTTGACATAAAATAAAGTAATCAAAAACATCAAAGTAGTTGTTTAGGGTTCCGTTTCGTAAAGGGATACAAGAACCCTTATAGGATAGCTTCGTTGTCATTCTGTGTGTGTTTCTCAACACCATTATTCTCAGGAACGCGTGGAGGTATCAAGTTGAAATTAATATCAAATACTGTGGCCTTCAATCTCACAGAGCTGCGAAAAAGATGAAACTTCTAAGTCAACTTAATCAAAAGATGCGATGGTTTATGTCACATATTTCACTGTAGGGAATCAGCATCTATAGGGTACTTCCCGTTGACCTAGAATCATGTCTTTTGGTACAAATAAAAGGAAAAATCCGAAATCGCGTCTTCGATGTATAGATTAAAAAGTAGCGATGACAGTGTGCATCCCTGTCTGACTCCCTTCCTAATATTTACTTCTGTACGTTGAAGCTCTGAGTGACTAAGTATTACTCTTCTATCTCTGTACGAGGGCGGTTCAATAAGTACCCGTGTTTGAAGACAGAGGATGTTCCTGTGGGAAATTGGTCTTGTCGTCGTGTGCTGCCATCTATCAAACCGCGCCAAAACGAATTTCAGACTGATTGATAGGTTAGTTTGGATTTGGCANATATAATCCATGTCGGGGCTGAAGACTTTGCCAATCAACTCACTCTGCTTGATCTGCCCGTTTTTCTTGCCATTCAACCTGATGAGTTGACCAGCTGTTCGTGGAACAAAAAGAACAAACTGGTTGCAGCACCCAACGTAGTTGCCTTCAGTCGAAGATTCAATCACGTAAGTAGATCATTCCAAAGTTATTCATTTGTTCATGTTTTAAATTTTGAGTTGCCGTTGCTGGAGTTCTTTGTAACCTCTCGTTNGTTCACTTGATAAGACAATATTATTGAAAATTTCAAAAAAAATGCAAATTTCTCAAAAACTGCTGGTCACAGATACCAACACCCCTATATCAGTCGAAAGAAAATTTAATTTTGCATTATACTGTATGAGAAAAAATATGGCATTTAGTTAAAAAAAAAATTGTGAATATTGTCACCGATAAATATCATCCTATTTATAATATACGTGTCTATCTAATACCTGTAGATGATAGGCAATTTCTTCCAGAAACGGAATATGAAAACCGGAAACTTCTATCCTTTCGTTTCTGAGATATATAAATTAGTGCCAATAAACTGACATTGTTTTTTAGTAGGGAGTAAAGTAACGAAGTTATTGTGCATTTCCGGTATAACCAGAAACCGCCATATTTGAAAATATTGTTAGGTTATTATCCACGTAACTCTATACAACTTTTATTTGAAATACTTTTCTATATTTTGAAGTATACGTGAATGAATGACCGATTTCGGGTTAGTGACTCACCCTGTTTACGTATTTATGTTTGAATTACAAATAATAGAAATAAAGGTAAAAGTGTAGTTTACGACACCCTTCTGAAAGTTCAAATATTGCAATGCTGCCAACATAAATACACGGTCACGACAACACATCCGCCAAAATAAAGTTAAATAACTAAAATCTCGCTACGTTTAACCGCCATTTCAAACGTTATAAACAAGACTTACAATTAGTAAGTACTAACTAAACCTCTTACATATAGTAATAAAAATAACAAACACAGGTAAACTCCAAGTAATAGTATATTGGGATTGGTAAAAATGTATCTAAATCTAAATTCAGATACTTATTAACTTATTATATTATTAATGTAGTGTTCAATCCATGCAAAGGTCATAGCCTTCCTTTTTTTGTGACGTAGTCTTTGATCCATGGCTCAGAAACTTTATTTTTTGGTCTCGCACCCATGAAACTTTTTATGGGAATGTCATAAATACCTCCGATTGCAGCGAATTTGACTGCACCTGATTTTCCATAAGGATTGTTCGGGGCCCTTTCTGACTAAGAATTCAAACGTTCTTTTCGTAGTTATTGATACATTGCGTATAGATCAGTACGGTAAATTTATAAATTAGCACATTAGAATATGTAAATTATGTAGGTCCATGATGAATGTACTTATCATTGTTAGATGCTTTATTTACACTTGTAGGAAGATGTATGTAAAGATGAATTTAATGATGCTCTCGATGGATCTAATAGTTACTTTAAGTCGTCTAAAGTGACTGAATTTCAAACATGTGATTTAAATGCTCGCATCAGGAAGATATCTTGTCATAGTGCCCCAGATGGCGGACCGGGACCTCCTCCTTTTACCTATCACAATTTAGGGTAAGAAAAGAAAAATGAAAACATATTTATACCTAAGTGTAAAAATCGAAGAAATCCAAGAATCGTTCTAAACCTGTATGTTGCGTTACTCTATTTGAAATCAGTTTTTTCTAGTTGATCTAAAACCATCATTCAAAATTATGTTCTTTTAATTAATAGTTTTTTAAAAAGTATATTAGTTACGAATTTTGTGAAACAATATAAAAATAAAATTCACTTTTAAATGTCTCAAGATTAGAACGTATTTATTAAACTATACGATTGTTTTGACAGGATTACTTGTCTTTTTCAAGAGAATAATAGAAAATAACATTCCTCATTCTCATCTTCAAGAATTTAAAAGCGAATTTTATTTTTATATCGTATATTTTATTTGCCCCCGTTTTCTTAAGAAATTGAAGCGAACTCCACTCTTTTTCGTAAAATTGTGCTAATCTTTTCGATGAGTTTTCCTGAACGCGTGTCTTCTCGAAAATATTTGCAGGAGTACTTTTTCAACGGTATCTGTCCATGCAAAAAGCCAAAGCTTGCCGAATCATACATCGCAGAATGCTATTCGTAATTATAGTAAAGCCGTAATGGATATAATCCATGTCGGGGCTGAAGACTTTGCCAATCAACTCACTCTGCTTGANCCCCATATTACGTACAACGTGTAAATTGTATCTAATAGACTACATTTAAACATTTTGGCTAAACGTTCGTCAGTGGAATTAAATGGCGCACTTTCAATGCCGGGTAAATACCCAATGAGCAGGTAAATAAAAAGAGTATATATTATTTTGGTAGTGGGTATGCAAAATACATTTTTCAAACTTAAATTAATGAGACCGAGTCTGTTAAAAAGAATTTATTGATTAGATCAGTACATATCGTTAAAATTATTCAAAATAGTCTTTTTATAAGCGTCGATACACTGCTGCCAATGTAATCCCACGTTGCAAAGGCACCTGGAAGTTAGCATCCCCAAACTCTTTCAGAAGCTTAACAGCCTGTGTTGAACNCAGGACTAAGCTTGGTCAAAAATATTCCTTAGTTGTCAAAAGTTTTTAAAAACCCCTGTCGGACGGCCCCCGGACGTCCTTCAAACTAGGACAAATCCGGGGAATCCTGGACGGATGGCAGCCCTAACTACAGATAACCTCAAATTAATGAGGAAGCTTTGTTGCTACTGTCACTCCATCATCAGCAATCCAACCCGTGCTCTTGGTGCGTAAAACCAGGGGGCGCGTCAATGTAAAGAACATTGACACCTGAAGATTGATCTAGTATTGACAAGACAATTCGTAGTTTTCCATTTCTGGTTTAGGTTTTTTTGGTTTGGTTTAGCTAGAGATGCGATGACAATATTAGAAGAACAACGAATTTAGGAAACCCTGGGTAGCAAATATAAAGGTGAAAATACAACAGCAGGATAGATAAATTTAGTGCAGGGCAGCTAAGGAACAGTGGGCTGATAAATAGTTGTTAATCATCTTTAAGCAACCAGACATTCTTCAACCAAAACTTCATTTGAGAAGTCAATGCGGCTGTTTTTGAAACAAAATTGCGAATGTTGTCAGAATGTGACAAATACCTTTCAAAAAAGGACACGGGTTATATTCCATACTATGTTTGGTATTTCCTATACAAAGAAAGCCCTTACACATTGAACATTCCTTGACATTTTATATGTAAACTGAATATATAAATTCAGTTCACATATTAGGTATATCTAGTTCTAGATATTTCTCCCAGTATCATTAGTACAAAATATAAAGTTAAAATGAAAGAATATAAAAAATATAAACACCATCGTAAACGTTTCATTTTAGAATCAACACAGTGTGATAATAATGATTTTTTGAAAACTTCAGTTGTAAAATGTTTTGAAAGCNCAGGACTAAGCTTGGTCAAAAATATTCCTTAGTTGTCAAAAGTTTTTAAAAACCGCTGTCGGACGGCCCCCGGACGTCCTTCAAACTAGGACAAATCCGGGGAATCCTGGACGGATGGCAGCCCTAACTACAGATAACCTCAAATTAATGAGGAAGATTTGTTGCTACTGTCACTCCATCATCGGCAATCCAACCCGTGCTCTTGGTGCGTAAAACCAGGGGGCGCGTCAATGTACAAAACATTGACACTTGAAGATTCTTTCTTCTTTGGTTCAGCCAGTCATCTATTTTTAAATGTTGCATGTATGCCTATCGAATAGCGATCCCAAAACTATAAACATTGCATATACGTAAGTATATATACAAATGATCTGGTCGAGGTTATATAGATGTATTATTTGGCGATAAATCTTACACCATTTGTATGAGATTTTAACCCTTTCATAAATTAGAAATGGCGCGTGGGAGCGTAGACAGGCGCGATAACAAAAATAAGTTAATAAAAGAACAAAAATCGACTGCTCAAACGCAATTTAAATGTTGAAAATCGAGTGCAATCTTTAATGTTTAAAAAACACTCAGATAGTATGGGCAAAATTTTATATTTCTGGGTTGAACGATTTTGATAATTTGTTAATGTGACTGTACGATATTCCCTCCGGGTGTGAATTGACATCTGAACCAAAGGCAAGTTCCAAACAAGTAGCAAGCGGATTTAGACGCGCCGGTCAAGGTACAGGATCCATACGTCCAATTCAGCGTCAAGGAACTCACGCATAGGTCATTGCAATAATACTATTATGCACTGACCTATGACATTGACACACTGCGAATGACTTCCACTAACTACATAAATACGTCTACAACGTTAAATGAACAGAGATATACACAAGGTTGGCTGTAAAATGAACATCGTCAATCACACTTAATCAAATCTAACAAATAACTAACAACGCATGCGTACAAAAATACACGAGTGTTACTAGTTAGCAGCTAATCGGATGCGGCGTTCCAATGTAGTATTTCCCTGCGGGATTCTACCAGGGCCGAACTGGCTCTTGACGGTACTTTCAAATAGGTTTTTCTCAAAAACGGTGGACTTTCGGAGCATCAAATATTTACTTAATTTTATTGTTTTATAGCGCCCTATCACCTCCTACAAGCTTGCTACATATCTTGTTTGTCGTATTTTTGGTAGTATAGTAAATAAGTATATCGTAAACTAGAGAAAATGCAAGGTATTTCATAAAGAGCAGGAGATTCTAGAGATTAAATCAGATGAATTAGTCAAGTAATTTTTTTTTTTGTANAGTTGTTAAACCCACGAACATTACAATATGTAGCTAAGTCCATCTCAACATCTTATATGCTCTTTTACAATGTAAAATATTTAGTATAATAACACGAAATAATCAAAGTATCCGGAATTTTTGAAAGCCTTGCAATAAACTCATGACACAGTTTTACAATTTTAATAATGGATAGAACAATTTTACTTTAGTGAATAACTAAAACCATACCATGCACCATGTACCTTGAAAAAGAATTAATCAAACGGTACTGATCTTTTTATTCTTTAATTAATCATAAAAACTTGTTTAACTATTACTTCTTATTTTTCTTAAACGGGTTTTAGTTTTTAATATTTTTAACGCTGCGTTGTAT